CCAATTAGCAGATATGGGGATTGTGAGGAGGCCAGGATGGTCAGAGGCCAATGGGACATCCTGGGATTTTTAATGACCACAGAGAGTCAGGACCTCGGTTTAATGTCTCATCCGAAGGATGGTGCTTGTTGACAGTACAGTGTCCCCGTCACTATACTGGGGCGTTAGGACCCACACAGACTGCAGGGTGAGCACCCCCTGCTGGCCTCACTAACACCTCTTCCAGCAGCAACCTAGTTTTCTCAGGAGGTATCCCATCCATGTACTGACCAGGCTCAACCCTGCTTAGCTTCAGTGGGCAACCAGTCTTGAGCTACAGGGTGATATATAGCAATATAATAGCAATGCTCAGGTCAGATGGGGCTGTTCATGATTTCAAAGGCATGTCTGATGGCAGTATGGACACTCACACATACCTTTCGCTCTGTTAATTGATAATTAATCAGTTGTTGATGACTGTTAATTGAGCCTGTGACAGTGACATTATAAAAATATTTACACATTCTGTTTCCAAATGGCCATGGCTCTTAAACCAAATGGCCATGGTGTTCAATGGAACATTTAGAGTTTTTGCATTTTATTTATTCATTTATTTTTTTGTGGTAGTGGTGAGGATTCTCTCAATGGCCTTATGAGACACAGATGTCCATTGACCCCTTCGCTGTCTCCACGGAAACGGACCACCAGCCAAAGCAAAACAGAGCCTCCACTTCTGAGGACGAATAAGAGGACAATCTACACTGCAGGGCGTCCACCCTGGTACAATGTTACTGGGACCACCTTTAAAGAAGCCTTTGTCATAGGTACGACAGATATGCATGCCTTCTATTTGATAATGACATATCAAGTCTTGTTATGTAAAGGGCAATGAATTATTACATTTGATAAAATCTTATGAAAACATTGCACAATATGACATTTGTTAAGAAAATGATGTGGGTATAATTTAGGTTTCATATTGTATTAATACTTTATTACACTCATAAGAGATTAGTGAGTAATAAAGCAGCATAAATATAAAATGGAGTATAAATTAAAAACACTTGAGATTAAATAATTTTTTCCTGTTTGCAAAATGTTTTCTCTAAATTTGAGACATGAATTATGCACTACTGTTCAAAAGTTTGGGGTCAGTAAGATTTTATTAAAATGTTTTTGAAAGATGTCTCTTGTGATCACCAAGGCTGCAGTTAATTCATTAAAAAATACAGTAAAACTGTAATATTAGTGGAATATCATTACGATTTAAAAAAATCTGTTTTCTGTTTTAATATATTTTAAAATGTAATTTATTCCTGTGATGGCTAAGCTAAATTACTCCAGTCTTCAGTGTAACATTATCCTTCATAAATCATTCTAATCAGCTGATCATAATGTGCATTTCTTGTTATAAAAAAGTCATAGTGACCCCAAAGTTTTGAACAGTTTATATATCTTAAAGCGAGGTTTAAATCCTTTGTGAAACTTTTCGTATTGCAGGTCTGAAGGTTTACACTTTTGTGGTGTGTGAGAACATGAGTTCTGTCAGGACTGAGCTCTGAGGTCATTAGCATGCAATCCATTACTCACAAAGAGCCTGTCGAACGGGCTACAATTTCACACTTGGATGTGCTCCAGTCAATTATTCTTTTAAAAAAAAAAGTGTGGTGTGTCTGTCTTCCCTGCTCGCTCAGTCAGAGAGAAACTAATAAATCCACCCAAGTGGAATGATCTTCCCTTAACAAAGGTCAGAGGAACAGTGAGACGAGAGAGGACGTAACAACACTGAAGCAGTTTTAAGTAACTTTAGTCCATATAACAACAAGAAGCTTTTTGTTATTCCCACTGGTTGTGTATCTTATTTTATGTAGTGTTTTCTTTATGGCCTTTTATTCTGGAGATCTATCTGATACTTAAAACTTTAGTATCTGAAAATGTAGTGGTCAGCATGATGTCTCACATGACTGATGTGCTCCAGTCAATTATTCTTTTAAAAAAAAAAGTGTGGTGTGTCTGTCTTCCCTGCTCGCTCAGTCAGAGAGAAACTAATAAATCCACCCAAGTGGAATGATCTTCCCTTAACAAAGGTCAGAGGAACAGTGAGACGAGAGAGGACGTAACAACACTGAAGCAGTTTTAAGTAACTTTAGTCCATATAACAACAAGAAGCTTTTTGTTATTCCCACTGGTTGTGTATCTTATTTTATGTAGTGTTTTCTTTATGGCCTTTTATTCTGGAGATCTATCTGATACTTAAAACTTTAGTATCTGAAAATGTAGTGGTCAGCATGATGTCTCACATGACTGCTTTTGTATAATGTACCGTCAGATAAGTTGTGTAATGCATTTTTCTTGTCTGATTAGCAGACTTTTTCTTTTTTATTCTTCTTTGATTTATATATACATATTGTTGTGACGCAAACATTTGTAATCGACCAGGTTTTGCAATAGCAATAAAAATGATCAATATTTAAAAACTAAAAATATCTATCTATCTATCCATCTATCCATCTATCCATCTATCTATCTATCTATCTATCTATCTATCATAATGAATGCACTGTTGCGTCCTGCAGGTCTGTGTGGAGGAAGTGCCTCTGGGAAAACCACCGTGGCCAATAAGATCATAGAGGCTCTTGATGTTCCTTGGGTTGTTCTGCTCTCTATGGACTCTTTCTACAAGGTACTTCACAACTGTGTTAAAGTAGACCCAGCTACAATACTTCTGCTTTGAACTTCCTGTCCTTTTAAAGTGAGGAATTTCACTCCAAATCCAATGACATGTTTCATCAGTGGTGTTATTGCTCCTAGTTGCATTTGCAGACCACTGTGCCATTAAAGTGCTTCAAATGAAACTTCTTCATGTGTTGAAACCAATGAAGCATTAATATAATTTGCTCTTGCCCCTGTTGGATGTGCTGAAACCCTATAGGATCTACTCATCAATCCTTATTTGATTTAATGGCATATCCTCCAGCTTATTAGTGGTCTGATTAAGTGGTTCAATCAGTCAGATATGTTTCTCTCTATGGTGGGAAGTCTACAGGCAAATTTCATTGAATAGTGCCGTTTTGTTGTTGTCAACCTCAACATTTCTGCATCACTGAAAACAATGTAATCTTTACTGTTTTCTTATTTCAACTTTCTTTACTTGCCATCTTGCAGGTTTTGAGTAAAGAGGAGCAGGAGTTGGCAGCTAGAAACGAGTACAACTTTGATCATCCTGATGCCTTCGATTTTGAACTGCTAGTAACTGTGTTGAGAAAACTGAAAAAGGGCAAAAGCATCAAAGTGCCAGTGTACGACTTTACCAGTCACAGTCGTCGCAAGGAGTGGGTAAGCATGTGTGTGATTGTCTGGTTAGTATGCATGAGCCTGTATATATTGCTTATTATCTTGTCTTCTCCTCCAGAACAACACTATGTAGTTTCTGCATCCCTAGCATTACCAAACAGAATTGCAAAAATAATTTTGATGCTCAAACAAACTAAATAAACCTACAAACAGTTTGCTTACAGTTGTCGTATTAGGCTGGGATAGGAGAACACTTTATTAAGTAACACTTTATTTTGTAGTACCCTTGTTACACTTTACATGTACTTATGTAGTAATAAGACTTACGTAATAAAAGTGTAAAACAGTCAATTATTCATAATTACATGTAGCTAACCCTAAACCTTTCCCTAACCCTATGGTAAGTGCATGTTGTTAATTAAAATTACTCAATACTTTACACTGTAACAAGGCAACTTTAAAATAGTGTAACCTACTTTATCTTTATTAAATGTGATGCAGCAGTGCTAATGCAATTACAGTGTATGTTCTAATAATGATCTGTAATGCTTTTTTTTCGCCATATTATTAATTAAATAGACTGTTACACAATATAGCAGAAGAATATTAACATCAGATTACCATGAAATATAATTCAGAAATTGCAAACTTTACTGTGAATTAATGTTAATTTAGATCAGTAATTTACTTTCTAAACCTGATTAATATACAGTTATGTCTTTATAGATTTAATTTAACTCAAATTAAAATTAAACTAAATCAAAAATTGATTTTAATTTTTTAATTAAAATCAAATTAAATTAAACCAAACACTCTTATAAAGCTGTCAAATTTCACCCTTTAATTGTTAACTGAGAACAATGTTTAAGTTTGCTTTTATTATTTACTGGCAATTTGCTATTTCATGCCTGATAGAAATAAAGCAGTAGCAGTAACTACGGTTACTTTAGACACGTATTTATGATTCCTTAGGAGCTGCGCTGCTTTTTATCTTCCTAAAATTGAACGTGCATTAGGGTTTTTTTCTGTACTTAAAAGGGTTGTAATGTTAATGAGTGATAAAGTGAGATCTCTGGCTCTGTGGCGTATACAGGCCACTTGTGCTGCTGATCAATACCGAATGAGTGGCCATTGATGGGAGGCCTCATGGTAGTGCATCTGTCTTAATGGGATCATGACACCATCAGGGTTCCCCTTATTCTGAAGCAGGGGAGCATGGAGGAAATGCATCACCGCACACTTCCACAGTTTCTCCCTACACTGCCTCAGTTTATTGACATCATATTTGAAGTTGAACAAATTTTAAAGCATTTTTCTGGGCATTTTGTGTACCTTATTTTTGTGTAATTTGATCAGTTAAGGTATAAACCAGATTTTTTAAATAAATAAAATGTATTATATGCGGTAATTAATTCACTGACTATTTCATCAATAAGTTTTACTTTTTCTGGTAATTTATTATATTATATTGTATTATATTATATTATATTAGGTTAGGTTAGATTAGATTAAAACATGACATTTTTTATATGTTTTTTTCTTCCTGGTCCTTTAATATTCTCTGTTTATGTTCCTCTGTGCAGAAAACCGTCTATGGGGCCAACGTTGTGATATTTGAGGGAATCTTGGCTTTTGCCAACAAGGAGCTTTTAAAGGTAAGCCTCATATTGTCACACTGGACATTATATAAAAGTCTCAGCTGCCACCTTTAACTGTGGTTTATAATACCACAAAGGGCTTTCAGTAAAAGATAGAAAGAGAGGAAGAATAATGGAAAGCTTCATAGCCTGAAATATAGAAGAGCATCATGGGAGTCATAAAGCAGAGAGTTATATTATATTAGGTTAGGTTAGGTTAGGTTAGGTTAGGTTAGGTTAGGTTAGGTTATATTATATTAGGTTAGGTTAGGTTAGGTTAGGTTAGGTTAGGTTAGGTTAGATTAGATTAGATTAAAACATGACATTTTTTATATGTTGTTTTCTTCCTGGTCCTTTAATATTCTCTGTTTATGTTCCTCTGTGCAGAAAACCGTCTATGGGGCCAACGTTGTGATATTTGAGGGAATCTTGGCTTTTGCCAACAAGGAGCTTTTAAAGGTAAGCCTCATATTAAACTTGTAAAAGTCTCAGTTATCACCTTTAACTGTGGTTTGTGACATCACAAAGGGCTTTCAGTAAAAGATAGAAAGAGAGGAAAAATAATGGAAAGCTTCATAGCCTGAAATATAGAAGAGCATCATGGGAGTCATAAAGCAGAGAGAGGAAAATGGGGGTGTAAAAGATAAGGTCAAATGAAAAGAAAGATAGCTGTGTAATGATAGAATGAGAAGAGAGGGAATATTGTGTATTTTATATTCCCACAGGTTAGTTATGGATGCTGAATGACAATAAAACAAGAGGTACAGTCTGCTTATTTTTTTCTTTTGAATTTGGGGTGAAATGATCCTGGAAATTTGACAGTCTGATGTCTCTGCCACTGAGTAATGGATCTCATTCCCACAACCGACTGGGAAGATGAGATGCCCTGTCTATACCGTCTCTGTCTCTCTCTTCAGCCCTGCATATACATGAAAACCCATTAATGGTTAGCTAGATAATGAGTTCTAGTTGTCTCTTCTATCATTTAAGGGAACAGCTGCATCTCTGGATGAAGATAGATATAGTTAGATATATAAAATCTTGTTCCTAATGCATGGTCCTACTGAAACTGCACAAGAACTCTCTCCTCCCCTTGTGTTCATTTCCTCCTGCATCCTGTTGTTTTCCTCAAACAGTGAAGATGACTGATTCTTCTGTCTCTCTAATGGTGAAGAGCGGCCACAGAAAGTGAATAGGCGGTGTTTATCTACGCCTGCGTTGACGGTTCCCATTGCCGGGTTTCGATTCTTCCTTGCACGTGGTGTCCGGAAATCTATACAAATTAAAATGGGAGTTATTGTGTACGCTTTGGCAAAGCAGTTCATCCTGACGTGATTTATGAGCACTGTGCAGCAGATGCGCCGCAGAACCAATGAAACTCAACAAACGGTAGACGTAATTCAGCTAATGAATGGATCAGGGTTTTCAGTTGTACTCTTTCTCATCGCAGGCCTTTGTGAATACAGTCACAGCTCACCTCCATTTTCATTTGAGAGATATTCATTCAGGAAGGATGAGCAATGACTTCCTGCTGAAACTGCACAAGAACTCTCTCCTCCCCTTGTGTTCATTTCCTCCTGCATCCTGTTGTTTTCCTCAAACAGTGAAGATGACTGATTCTTCTGTCTCTCTAATGGTGAAGAGCGGCCACAGGAAGTGAATAGGCGGTGTTTATCTATGCCTGCGTTGACGGTTCCCATTGCCGGGTTTCGATTCTTCCTTTGCACGTGGTGTCCGGAAATCTATACAAATTAAAATGGGAGTTATTGTGTACGCTTTGGCAAAGCAGTTCATCCTGACGTGATTTATGAGCACTGTGCAGCAGATGCGCCGCAGAACCAATGAAACTCAACAAACGGTAGACGTAATTCAGCTAATGAATGGATCAGGGTTTTCAGTTGTACTCTTTCTCATCGCAGGCCTTTGTGAATACAGTCACAGCTCACCTCCATTTTCATTTGAGAGATATTCATTCAGGAAGGATGAGCAATGACTTCCTGTCCTTTAAAACTTGATATACACTTGACCTTTCACTCCATTCATGTACGTTTCTTGCACGCCTGCACACAGAGTCTTATAAGTTATGCCTTGTCATGTTGGTAGGGCTGCTGGCACTGCTGTTTAAGGGTGTTGGATTCTTTATCGTTACTCTCAAATTTAATGCCTTTGCCATATCATGTCGGCTCACTGAATGATATCCATTTTTAGCGTCAGTGTCAGCACCAGCGGTACGTCTTGGCTAGTTGGCGTCACGCTGCACTACATTGCTTTGATTGATCCTGACTTCCCCTTTGCTGAGCAGCTTTTATAAAATTTCTTATCCGTTCGCTCCGTTGAAAGATCTCATACGTGTTTTCAGTAACAGGAACCGTCGAGGAGAGGCGGTAGTAGATCCTGGACAGATTTTGTCTGCCTTGCAAGATTTTGTCACTTTGGAGTGGAGAACAATGAGGGTTATTATTCAATGGTATATGCTTCTGTTGAAGTTGTTGGTGTGTTTTTTTCTTTTTTTTTTTCTTCAAAAAATCTTAGTTAAACAGCAAATTTCTAGATGAAGAACTACACTACTGTTCAAAAGTTTGGGGCTGGTGAGTTTTCTCTTATGCTCACCAAGGCTCTGTTCATTAAAATTGTGTAATATTATTACAATTTAAAATAACAATTTTCTATTTTAATATTTTAAAATGTAATTTATTCCTGTGATGGCAAATCTGAATTTTCAGCATCATTACTCCACTCTTCAGTGTCACGTGATCTTTCAGAAATCCTTCTATTATGCTGGTTTGCCGCTCAAGAAACATTTCAATGTTGAAAACAGTTGTGCTGCTAAAATGTTTTCTTGAAACAGTGATACATTTTTTTTCAAGATGTTTGGATGAATAGAAAGTTCAAAAGAACAGCATTTATTTTAAATAGAAATCTATAAATGTCTTTACTGTCACTTTTAAACAATTTAATACATCCTTAGCTAAACATAAGCTGGAAGATGGAAGCTTTGTCTATAACACATTGTCAGTTTCTTGATGTTTTGTGTGGTATTACTGTTTCTGTGTGTCCTTCAGCTCCTAGACATGAAGGTATTTGTAGACACAGACTCTGACATCCGGCTAGTCAGGCGACTAAAAAGGGACATCACGGATAGAGGGCGTGACATTGCAGGCGTCATTAAACAGTACAACAAATTTGTCAAGCCAGCGTTTGAGCAGTACATCGAACCCACTGTGCAGGTTGCAGATATTGTGGTCCCAAGAGGTATGTGAAGTATGTGAAATGTTAAAACTGCCAAACATTTTGTAAGATGTCATAGACTATTAAGCATATTTTACCAGACTGTCTGTCTTTAATATTGCTAGGTAACATTTATATTCAGAAATTTCATTAAAAGATGATTTAAAAATGTTTCACCTTGGAAATGTTTTGAATTTCTGTATAAATATCGAACTGAAAGACCTTATACAGTTAGCCTTTGATGCTGGTATGGCAATAAACAATTACTGTGAAACCTTCCTAGTTTGTTCAGAACTCAAAATGATGGGAATTTGTGTCTGTGAAAGTATAATGGAGATGATAAAAGTCCCCTTCCGTTGTTCCTCAGGTGGAGAAAACTTTGTAGCCTTGGATCTGATTGTTCAGCATGTTCACAGTCAGCTGGAAAAGGTATGTAATAAAATGGCTCCTCGTTCTCATCTGTTGGACACTGAGTGAGAATGATTAGTTGGTCTGTGCATAAAGAAGCGCTGAGAATGGCCAACATGCATGTTGTTATCCCTGCTAGATGATCCACATGCTTCTAATACACACACAAATGTTGCATGCGTGTGCATATGAAGCCCATGCCATGGTATAAGCATAGTTTGCTCATGGTATAGGTATAGTTTGCCCTCTGGTGGTCATACTGTACCTGTGACTCAAGATATTTTGTTCTAAATATTATATGCATTGGTTAAAACAAGAGAAGGCAAGGCCAGTAATCTTGATCTTCATTTTACAGTCCATCTTCGCCTTTATAGTTCATTTGCAAATGTAATTTCTGGCACAATATTCATTAAAAATGACGAAATGATGACATTTCCAATGGGAATTGATTGGATCTTGAAAAAAGTGGGCATTTCATACCATAATATTGCTCAGCCATAATATTTGGGAATTTGCTAAAACAGTGACTAAATAGCCTTTTGCCTGTTGGTTAACATTATCCACTCTTTTCTTTGGAATAGCATGCTCTGATGATTCAGACAATATGCTGAGAAACCAGGAGACAAGCAAATGTGTAGACAGTTTTTGATTTTATGTTGATTTTAGGTGTCTACCAAGGTAATTATTAGAAAGACAAAGATGTTAACACTAATGAAGGTTTGCTGAGTGATGTCCGTGTGCATATACAGTATTGATGACAGATGTATTCCACAGAAAGGGTTTAGAGCCTGAGCCTCTTTGAAATGTAATCATTTTCTGTGCCTGACAGGCTGAATAAAGTCATGAGTCTTCTTAACTCGATCAGTCACAGTGATGAATGATCTTTAGGACTAATGAACCATGTGCTTTTGTACAAAAGATATCCTGCTCTAAACCCATAATTGAGTTTCTCATCACATAGAGGTCAGATTTGAAAGATTTTGATGTTACGCCCAGTGAGTACTTTGACTGAAAAATATTTTTAAAGACACTGCAAAAGTTTATTATTTAATTTTTGTTATGATTCCTCAATTAGGGGCGCTTCTGACATTTTGTTTTGTATAACATGTGACGTGTGGGTTTTTAATACTGTGTGTAATGGTAATGACGGTATTGACATTTTTTGCTTTATGAGAGAAAAAAAGAAACCTTGAACTTGCTAACTCAACAGGTTAGGTAGTAGCCCATTAAGTTATAGAACTTCTTATAAGAATTTATAGAAGGTAATTTATTAAATTAATTGAAACAATTAAATGCTGATCATTGTATAAAGCTATCTACCTTATTAATTTATTTAAAATATTAAATGATGTGTGTATGTACGATTTATACACCCACATACACATTACTATTATAATATAACAAATTATTAATAATAAATATATTACTTTTATAATTAATAATATATTCCATTTATTTATGCAAAATAGAATTTCCCTAATTCAAAGTCTTTTTCTTTATTTCAATTTCATTTTTATTTTTATTTCATTAAAGTCACCCTTTTCCAAAAAAAAAAAAAAAACCTGGTGTAACCTCAAAGCAATGTCAAATTTAGTACAATGGAAAATGTGTTTATAAATGTGTTATAAATATGTCTATAAATGTTTTATCTAATCAACCCCGTGATTCCACAGTAATATAGTAACACTGATAAAGACTGTTAAATCAGCCTGAAACATTTTCTTTTCAGTGTTGGAAATATGAGAAGCATAAATGTATATTGTGTAAATCTGCAAGAATGTGATTGTATCAGGTTAAATATAGGGCTTAAGAGTAGCTGATAGTGCCATGAAATATTTTCCCAGTATACCATGGAGAGGGTGAGGGCTGACTGTTTGGAATGGCTTTTCAGAGTGAATATCTCATTTCATGAGTTTGTCTTTTTTTCTTTTCTTTTTTTATTCTTCTCCTCCCTGTGCGTGTTTGTAATGAAATACTTGCTAAACCCTCAACCGATTGCTCTAACCATCCCAGCGTGAAATCACAGTGAGGTATGGCTGCTTTTCCCCTCATTCCCTTCCATCTCTCTTTCCTACATTCTTTAAACCTGTGCTTCATCTCTCCTTTCTTTTCCTCAAACCTGCAGAGATGCAAGTGGAGACAAAAGGAAAAGCTTAGCTCTGGCTATGCTCTACAATAAACAAATGAAACGTTTAGTGTTGTTGAGGCTGCAGTATAAACGGATACACAGCCTCGCCCACATTAAAATCTCACTTGTTCAAAATCATAGCTATAATTGAAACCGCTAATACACTACCGTTCAAAAGTTTGGGGGTGGTATTTTATGGGTCTCTTATGTTTATCAAGGCTGCATTTATTTGATCAAAAATTCAGTAAAACAGTAATAATATGAAATATTATTACAATTTAAAATAACTTTTTTCATATCTTTTAATTTATTCCTGTAATGCAAATCTAAATTTTCAGCAGTCTTCAGTGTCACATGATCCTTCAGAATTCATTCTAATATAATGACTTGGTGCTCAAGAAAAAAAAAAGTTTTTTTTATCACTATTAATTTTGAAAGCAGTTTGGTGCTTTGATCAATTGAATGTTTCCTTGCTGAATAAAAGTATTCATTTCTTTGAACGGTAGTGCTTGTTTTGATTTTTACTTTCATATTTTGGCTGAAATTATCTATAAAACAAAATGTTTAAGTGGAGACTGTATGCTAAGGACCTGAATGAGTTGCACACAATTGATGTAAAGACAAAGAATATCATTATAAAGAAGCTTTATAAACACCATAGCTGGACTGTGTACCTTTTGTCTCCACCTCCACTATGTTATTTTGATGCTGTTGCTAACACAGGAATGGGTCTATTTCAGTGGTTTCGCTCTTCAGATAATGTGCAGCCTGTGAAACCCATTGATAATGCATATGGTCTCATTACTGAGACGTCTGTTGTCATTTGATCATTTTATTCAGACTCGGTTGAAAAACCACTGACATACTACCCACACCTGAGCTCATCTTGGCTGTGATGTGCCCGTCTGTTCTGTATAGACTTTAATCAGGTCGTGTTCTTTTCTCCCCCTCCCTCTCTCTTTTCTCTGTCTCGTCATCATTGTCTCCCAATGAACATTTATTCCCTTCTTCAGAGGAAACTCCGCTGGGATATGTGAGGATAAATTCTTGCATCCTCTCGCCTTTCTTTTTTCTGTTGTTTTCTTCATTTTATTTTGTTTGTTTTCTTGGATCCATCCTCTGCAATACTTCCTCACTTGATAAACACATGTTCTGCTCTTTTAGTCCTTTTTTTTTTTTTTTTACTTTTAATGTTTGAATTTTTTAAAGCTTGTGTATGTTTAACTCAACTTCAGCTTTTCAGAGTGGGCTAATAACATTCACACTATTAGTCCATCACAGTGTCCTAACCAGCAGCGACTGAAAAGCGACAAGACATTTTGTCCATCACGTGGTTTCTATTTTTGTGGCATTGCCTAGGTAGAAATCTGATTGGTCCAAAATCCCTGTACATATCTTCTGATTGGTTGTCATCGTATCATGCCAAGGAACAGTTTTGTGTTCAGTGTAGACAAAATACTTGTCGCGTCACACTGGTTAGGACGTGGTGTCTTTCTGAATGGGATTGTGGGCTGAGTTTTGGTGAAACTGGCAGCCACAATGAAGGAAATTTAGCAGCTACATATATTAAATGTCTCAAATCAGTCATTAATGTAGGTTGTTGTACACTGTACAGGGCAGTGGTGGCTCTCTCCTTGCTAAGATTTTCACATTTACAATATTGTAATTAAATGAACAGAATTCAGTCCAATACCGTCTTGTTGGTTTTAAAGTGCACCTATTATGCCATTTTTTTAAGGTTCCTAATATTGTTTTGGGAGTCTCCTACAATTTTGCAGATTGTTTACATTCACATACAGCTAAATTACACACTGCATGAAAGGCAATATTCGAAATGGCACAATAGGGACACTTTAATATCACAGTATTTCACTGTTTAAAGAAATGGTTTACTCTAATATTAAAACTGTCATTTACTCTGTCTCAAGTATGATGTTTTTTCTTTCTTTTGCGATATACAAAAAGAGGTTTTTACAATGTTAAAAAACAGCGTGAAAATCCTGCCTTTTTTGTGGTCTGTGAAAGAAAGAAAGTCATATGTGTTTTGAACGAAATGAGTGAGTAAATGATCACAATTGTAACTTTTAGTTGTACTGTTTCTTTAATGCTTGTGCATCAGATCTTTGGTTGCAAAACCCTTACTTCTGTCTTCTTCTAATATAAAGGCCTGTTCACACCAAGTCTGATGGTTCACACTGATGATGCACATTGCACACACTAGAAACCTACGATATTAACAGGTTGTCAACACATAACCTAAGTCAATATCTTATTGGTCAGTGAGGTTTCTTTTTGGGGTGAAATGTAAATTATGCAATTCTTTTATTTAAAATGAAGTCGTGGGAAGTCGTGGCCTAATGGTTAGAGAGTCGGACTCGTAACCCAAAGGTAGCGGGTTTGAGTCTCATGCCGGCAGGGATTGTAGGTGGGGGGAGTGAATGTACAGCGCTCTCTCCCACCTTCAATACCACGACTGAGGTGCCCCTGAGCAAGGCACCGAACCCTCAACTGCTCCCTGGGTGCCGCAGCATAAATGGCTACCCACTGCTCCGGGTGTGTGTTCACGGTGTGTGTGTGTGCACTTTGGATGCGATCACTGAACCTTATTTCGTCTTTTCTCTTTAGCCGGTGTCTGTTGAAACTCCTCAAGGAACTGTATATGAAGGGAAGAGGCTGAGCGGGAAAAGGGTTTGTTTATATGGAAGATTAAAATGAGTTACATACTTCTGTGAAAAAATTGCTGGGTCAAATTAGTTATCCTGGCTATTAATTTGTGAAATCATTTGGTTTCTATGGAAGCCTGTTTTCACCACAGAAAAAAAACTTTTATTTCAATTTAGACTTTTTCTCACAATTCTGAGTTTATATCTCCCTTTCTTCTTTTTTTATTCCATGACAGAAACACGTTTCCATAGATATTGCTATTATCTGTATGGCAGGACTTTATACCTGTGCTCCTTGTTTGTTTGTTTGATAGATCACTGGTGTGTCCATTTTACGGGCAGGAGAGACCATGGAACAGGCCTTGATGGCTGTTTGTAAGGACATTCGACTCGGAAAGATCCTCATTCAGACCAATCATGACACAGGAGAGCCTGAGGTATCACATCTTCACCCATCCAACTGACAGACACATCCTTAAACAAGCTCTGATTAAAAAGTTGTCTGTGTTATCATGTGTCCTTGTGTTCTCAGCCTTGGTGAGACGGCACAGATGATTTACTCGTTGCCTATTAGTCAGGACTCAGGTCGTGGTCTGTTTCACTGCTGTTCTTAGTCAGATTTGATATCTATACCTCTTCTCACCTGACATATAACATGTGTCGTAATGTACATGATAAACTCGACAGCTCTGTGCTGATGGATGTCAGTTTGCAGGTATTTTTTTGGAAGAGTGTTGTGTAGAGCTCACTCCAGCTGTATGTTCACTTTGCATTAAGTACAGTCTTGTACTTCTTATGACCGGTGTTATTTTAGTATAATTTATATACTATTATAGAATTTATTAATATTTTGAATTAGCTTTTAGCTTCATATTTTCATAGTTTTTTTTAATGTGCTTATCATTGATTTATATATATATATATATATATATATCATTTTTATAGTATGTTTATAGTTTTTTTAGTAATTTATTTCAGAAAAAAATAACACTGTTTATGGTTTGGCATTATAATTAATATTCCTGATATATTTGTACAGAATCAATTACATATATCAATTAGTTCAGACTGTCTGTTTCAGTGAAATAGTTCAGACCTGAACCAAAAAGATTGTTTCAGTATTGTTTGCGTCACTAAAAATATTCCTGGAGGTCTCTGCATTTTAATGAATTGCTGTAAAAAGTCTTGTAAGAAACAGTTATGTTTATTTATTTGCTTTATGGTGATATATTAAAGCATATAAATGAAAATAATTGTACAATAATTCTTATGCTCATTCAGTAGAAAAAAAACAAAAATATTTCCTTGTAATCAAAGGTATATACAGGTACATCTCAATAAATTAGAATGTCGTGGAAAAGTTCATTTATTTCAGTAATTCAACTCAAATTGTGAAACTCGTGTATTAAATAAATTCAGTGCACACAGACTGAAGTAGTTTAAGTCTTTGGTTCTTTTAATTGTGACATTGAATTTATTTAATACACGAGTTTCAAAATTTGAGTTGAATTACTGAAATAAATGAACTTTTCCACGACATTCTAATTTATTGAGATGCACCTGTATGTGTGTATAGTTAGATAGATAGATATAGATATAGATATATAGATATGCTGTATCACTCATCCTCGATACTGTAGCGTTTTCAATTTGCATTTCTTTGATCTCAAAGCTCCTTAGATGTCCTTATTTAATTGCTTTAGAAGTTTAGTGTTTTCCATATAGTAATGTCACAAAAATCATTGCTTAGACTATAAATTTGTCTTATTACAGTCTAATTTCCTCCTCAGCTCCATTACCTTCGTCTTCCCAAGGACATCAGTGAGGATTATGTTATCCTGATGGACAGCACTGTGTCAACAGGAGCGGCAGCTCTCATGGCTGTCAGAGTCTTACTTGTAAGTCACCTCAGCAGACAGGTCACATTTATTTATTTTTAAGTAAGTTTCCCAAATGTGCACAGATTTATTTTTACGTTTCATGGGCATTGTGGAGTATTTTGGCTCCTTTTAAGATGTGTAAGATAAATGTCAACATCTCATTATCATGAATCTGTAATGGAAGTGATAGGAGATGTGAGCCCTAGAACTGATGTTGTCTTGTTAGGTCTGATCTGTTTCAGTGGACACCCAACACAATCACATTTCTACATGAACCTCTCTTGGACCTCTCTTGCATAAAAAAACAAACAATCCTAACCAGATTGCTCCCTTTTTTGGGAGCAAAGTCCACATAGGATATGAGTGTTTAAAAGGTCTGTCTGGCCTTGGTTCAATGTTTCTATCTGTTAACAACGTGTCTACTTGGAAATATATATGTTGTATATTTCTGTATACATATGTAAATATATTTACATTTACATTTATGCATTTAGCAGACGCTTTTATCCAAAGCGACTTACAGTGCATTCAGGCTGCACATTTTTTTTATATATTTTAAATAATATATATATATATATGTTGCACTTTGTTTATTATTATATTATATTATATTATATTATATTATATTATATTATATTATTCCAAAAATGTGTCATTGCATTACAGACACCATTTTAACTCAGGGATATACCTTATATTTTATTATTTTACATTTATTTAACTATTTATTCTATCTATTTATTTTGTACAGTGTTTTTTCCAGACCTTGATATCCACATTAGTTAGTGCTCAGTATAGTTTAAATCAGGGTGGTTCACGAACTCATCTGTTCCAGGATCATGATGTCCAGGAGGATAAGATCTTCCTGCTCTCTCTCCTCATGGCGGAGATGGGCGTTCACTCAGTGGCCTACGCCTTTCCCAAAGTGCGCATCATCACCACTGCCGTGGACAAGAAGGTCAACGATGAGTTTCACATCATTCCAGGGATTGGTAAGAGCAGTTTGATTAAAGGAATAGTTCACACAAAAATTAAAATTTACTCAACCTCAGACCATCCAAGATGTAGATGAGTTTGTTTCTTTATCGGAAAGATTTGGAGAAATTTAGCATTACATCACTTGCTCACAAATGGATCCTCTGCAGTGAATGGGTGCCGTCAGAATGAGAGTCCAAACAGCTGATAAAAACATCACAATAATCCAAAAGTCCCTTAAAAAGTCCATCCCCCATTGTCCTTTCACTTGAAAATCCACTGACATATTTGTTTAAAACGGTTTTAGTCAATTTTCATGTGTAAACGGTGATTGATCTGTGCATTTTTCTCTACTGAGTCAGAGATGAGAAAGCAATATTATGAATAAAGGAACAGTATTTTAGCTGGAAGCAATGGTTTGAAGTTAAAGGTGCAATGTGTAATATTTACAACGATCTATTGACAGAATATAATATACATAACTATGTTTTCAGATGTGTATAAAGACCTTACTTAATTAACCGTTATGTTTTTATTTACCTTAGATTGAGAAATTTCTATCTACATACACCACGGGTCCCCTTACATGGAAGTCGCCACCATGTTTCTACAGTAGCCCTAAACGGACAAACTGCTCTACAGAGCGCGTTTCGTTCTAAAGGGACGGGTGAGCGGGGGACTGAGCCGTTGGTTGCAATTCGCAAACTCACCACTAGATGCCGCTAAACTTTACACACTGCACCTTTAAATTTGATGAACTGGAGTCATGTGGATTAAGTGTGGATTATTGTGATGTTTTTAACAAATGTTTGGACTCTCATTCTGGCGGCACTCATTCACTGCAGAGGATCCATTGGTGAGCAAATTATGTAATGCAAAATTTCTCCAACTCTGTTTCAATGAAGAAACAAACTCTTCTACATCTTGGATGGCCTGAGTGTGAGTTTCAGCAAATTTTCAGTTTTGGGTGAACTGTTCCATTAACAAAAATGAAGAAAAAAACAGGACCCCCAAATATATTGTAATTGCAATTGTTTTGCAGGTAATTTTGGGGACCGTTACTTCGGGACTGATGCTCCTTCAGACTGGTATGAAAGTGATGAGGGGATGGACTACTGAATTTCATCAAGACTTGTATGTGAGCAACTGTATCAGCATGCGTCAGCGAAGGGAACTTTTAAGCACTTAATCTCATAGGATTGTGGACCCATTGCCCTCCCCTATATAAGCATAAGCCTTAGCCGCCTCTTGCTGTCAATTCTTGCAATACTGCGTCCTACACGTGAGCCCATGCTCAATACAGGTCAAAGCATTAATGGACCCCCAAACATGAGAGATTACTGCTCATTAGCTTTCCTTGCAGTGCCCACATGACCATCACAATTTAAGAGTTTTTCATGAATACTTGAACTAAGAAATGATAAGAGTGGAATAATAAGGGCACACCACAGTTTCTTCATGGGAGTGTTTGAAATGGCATACTACCAAACTACCTTGTACTGTTTTTCAGTAGTATGAATATACAGTATATACTGTGTAGAATACAGTATACTGTATGTAATTGATTGCAAACACAGCTCATACTCAATGTTTGTTAGCTGGTTTCTTGTCTTGTCTTGACTTGACTTATCTTTCGTTTGTATAGCATATATGGCATACATGTGCATTTGAAATGCTTGACCAAATTGACATTTTATACTAAGTGAACGAAACACATGCTTGCTTCAATTTAACCTGCCTTTAATATTGCAGCTTTGCTAAAACTCTGCATAAATGTTACTACCTTGAATAGTAGCCCAAGCACAAATAGATATCACTGTTTACTGCAATGCTGCAATTCTGCTTATAAACAATACATCTGTTGTTTAATCTACTTTTACTTTGTTGTTTTGACTTTTGATTGGTGTCTTGAAGGCGATACAGATGTGAAGTGCCAATCAATATATCAGTCTACTTGATAGTGTTTGTGTGTGTGTGTGTGTGTAAAAATGTGGGGAATTCATGAAATATTGAAAAGGGACTTTTGTTAATAGAAATTTCAATTTTAAGTCCAAAGGAATAATTTTCCTCTCATCATTGGTTTTAGTATTTAGCACAACAGTGCCACAGACAGAAACAAAATTAGGTTTATAGTTTTCTGTTACATACTTGAATTTTAAATTGTAGATAATGTATATTTATTTTTCATTGGTTTTAATGAACACAATCAGTGTAGTCCGATATCCAAATGATTGACTCTTATGAGTCGTTGTTTTTCAGAGAATCAGAGAATATTTCATATTTTATTATTTTCAATTACTTTTATTATTATTATTATTATTATTATTTACTTTTAAATGCATTGTATTCTTTAATGCAGCCTGCTTCTTTTTCACTGGAAGTTCCTGTCGCCAAGACAAATTCCTTGTGTGTGTAAACATGCTTGGCAAAGCTCTTTCTGATTTTCTTTTTTTTTTTGTCATTTTGCACTGCTTTTGTCATTTTACACTGGGCGCAGAATGCTTTGACAATCGGAATGTAAAAATAGTTGTCAAGCCAATAAAGCACCTTAAATCTGAAACATGAATCCAAAACGCACAGTGCCACAAGTGTAGTCTGAATTCCAAATGAACGACTCCAATGTATCGATTCTTCTTTGTGAATAAAAATAAACAGCGCGACCAGTGTAGTCCAAAATGAATGAATCTTATGAACCGGTTCTTTTTAGTGAATCATACGCAGTGGTGTAGTGGTGCCTGGAGAAGTGGGTATACTCTTAATTTATGTCCCCATTTTTTTAAGCGGCCCAGCAAAGGATGAATGGCCTGTGTTATAAACAGGGACGTAAGACTAGTCTTGCATATTTCGTTCACCCCAAAATGGGCCAGTAGTATTTGCACATTTTCACTTACTGTAACTTCTGCTACTTGACTTCACGGAGTAAGGATCATTATGAAATTAATATTAGCCACAAAAGAGGTGCAGATTTTGCAATAAATAATTAAAATGTCAAAATTACATAGACCGCAACAATTAACATTTTGTCAGAACCTCTAGTAGACAAGCTATTTTGTTTAGTTATCTGTAGGAGGATCATGATCTCTATTTGATACAAAAGAAAAAGAAAAAAAAATTGTGATAAATTTATCCAGAATTGTGCAGCCTACTCCTATGTTTGACTGACTGTTTCTTCCATGGCATACAGTGACGGGCAAATAGTAACCCCCTACTTCCCCCATACCTTTTTACAATTTATCTATATAGCCTACTATATATGGCTAATGCAGGACACTACTGAATGATGCGCATCAGAGGGGATTTAGAAGTGGGTATACGCAAAGCCGACTGATAAAGAAGTGGGTATACGCCGTATACCTGCGTATACCCTCCACTACACCACTGATCATACGCATATATCATGGCCAGTGTTGTCGGAATCATGAATGAACGGCTTTTTGAATCTTTTTTAGTGAATCATATGTAAGAACATAAGCAAATCTTGGTTAATAACTAGTCAGTAACTAGTTTGGGATCAAATATTGGTTTGCATTTGTTGATAAGATGATGTTGCATAAAGTAAAAAGAGATTTGTTAGATCATTTATCTATCAGTAGCCTAAGTGCCATGATGATATGACATTGATATTATTCTTGCCACATACAAATTATTAGCTATTGTTCAAGTTGTCAGCTATTTTTCTATCTCTGAAGCAGTTTTCATTGCAGTAATTTCAATAGTCCTGTGTTTTTCTTAGACTTTGTCACATGGCGGGCCTTTGGAGATCTTATCAGGCACTGATGGCCAAACATCCATGGACACTGCAGATTATAACTGCTGGTAAGAGCTACAAACTCTCCACCCTCGACTCCTCTGCTTTTTTAGCCTGTAGTTGATGTTCCCAATTCCCTTTAGGTCAACTCAATTTCAGAAGCTGTTGATTAAATATTTATCTTTCCTGTTCGCACAATCACATCTAAACAGCAAGATTGTTTTTGAGCGTCAATAATAGATCAGCCGTACAAACAATGAAAAGCCCTTCTCGGCAACAATCTGCTTAGCTGTTTGCTTGAACTTTGTCATTGTGGGTTTTACAGGGTGGGAGTATAGATTAAGGAGGGAAAGTCTATTTCAAGATGTTGAACTGTTGTTTTAAATGTAATTGTTATTAAATGTAAATTTTAATTCATACTGAACCAGGAATTAACCAGGAATGCTCACTTTATGCATCACCTTAAGACATTTGGTTTTTATTTGGAAAATACAATTATTTTTCACCGCAATTACACCATTCTACCAGAAGATGGAAGCACAAAACAACATATCATTGAAAGTCTTGTCAAGGTGTTTTGCTGAAGACTTTCTTTTTGTCCGAACATAGATGATGATGTCTGGATTAAAGTGTTCATATCACGAGGAATCAAAATGTCCTTTACTTTTTGAGGTCAGAGTTCAATGTACTATGGAAACATACTGAATCTTTCAGAATGCAAGTTTCAATTATCGAAACCAAGCAATTGGGGAAAAGTTTTGTTCTGAATAATTTAACATTCTATTTTTGTAGTTAAAACTGAGATTTAACAGTTTTTTTTCTGAGCAACCGCAGACGCAGGGAGTGTGAAGTCTATTTGAAAACAATCACTAATTTCGCAGTTCCGTTTTGTGATGCCAGCGGGGCTGAAATTACACACCTCAGCTTTAATTTCATGTGTGATTACTGTGCATTAACTGATCAGACCCATTTGATGGGAATCTTTTCACCTTGTTTAACAAAATGAGTGAATGAGAGTGCACTTTATTGTTAATCAATGAGCCTGCTTAAACAAGCTGCTGGCTGTATTATGAGTCATTCAAACTGTAGCATTAGGATTAATTGGTGCTTGGCTAGACTGGCACTGACAACTTGGCCAAAATGCTTAAAATCACCAGTGGCCTTATGTTGCTTAGTGGTTGAGGATGCAAGTTTATGTAATCAAGATTACAGACATGAGCTATGATTCATTGCCTTTGTTTTCCTCATGAGGGAGAGGACTTGAATATTTATAAAAACTTTAGCCCTATGGGTATAGGTTTAATATTAGACCGCAAGATGCTTTAAATGAGAGGGAAGTGGGGTTATTTCAAAATTAAAGAATATCTGGATGTTTTCTCAGTGATGTGGCCCAGCGCTTATTCGCAGAGCAAGGGATGTGATCTTACCTTCAAATAAATTGAATGCAATAAAACTTGGCATTCTTGGGCAAGGTGGAAAAACTTCAGTGAATTGGAAGTTCAAGGTTAAGTGTGTTTCACCCGCCCCCCCCCATCA